TGACGGATTTTATGAAATCAAAAAAATTAAATATTTTGAAATTGCTTTATTGGTGTAATATAAACAATATGATAGTTGTATCTGTTTTTTCACTTAATCAAAACAGGTATGATATGCGGGTCAGTATTATTTCATCACCGACATCACGCCAGGTGAAATTTAGTAAAAATATATGCTTGCAACTAATCAAATGCTTAACTCTAACTCTATGTAATGTCGGCTAAATGAGCGTTTGGTGAAATAATTGTCGGTGAATTGATCGGAAGCGATGATGGGCGTCTAAAATGATCATTTTGGACTGAGGCATTATAAAAAAAGTTAATCCGTATTTTATCCATAAATGTCTCATACTTGTAAAATATATACCTTCAAATGATGGAAATTATTTGACCTACCAAATCATGTTGCAAATTCACGGAGTTCTTACAGAAAATAAAAAGAACAGGTCATACCTAACTGGACTATTGCATTCATCATACGTTTGTACAATTCTTGGATATGCTACAGAAAAGAAATGGTTATAATTCAAATTAAGTAAAGTGTTAGATCTAATTTTGGATATAACAATATATGCTTAATATAATTTTTGAACTCTATAAAGTGTAAACATGGCTTGGACCAAATCGTATGTTTTGATATAATGATAAGATTATAAGATCATGCAACCAAGATCTTGCGTACGTACTCTATTTGGAAACGCCAACAATGAAATCACACGGGTGACAATTTACTATGTATTTGTCTGTAATACAAATTCCTAAAAAGGAAATGCAAAAGGGGTACGTTGTGATTCGATCGGCTTGTATATATTCAGTATAATAAAAACCGATTAATCAATAAGCCGATAAGCCGATTTGCAATTAATAATCATTATGTAAACATTATTACGGCGCATATGTAAATCCTTAAAATTTTGACTATACGTATATGATACTGATCGTTGACTGTGTTAATCAAAGTTCCGAGATTAGGGTATGTCATCACTACATATAAAATTCCATGTCTCGTAAAGTGCGTCAAAGTAGGTTAGATAATCGATATACATCAAAGGATTAAAAATTTTTTTGTGTTTAGCGTTAATCAATTAATATGATTTGATATGATTAATGGGTGTATAACAAATACGTAATGTTTAGTTAATAAAGTATTTATAGTTCGTAAAAGAATTCTTTAAGAGATTTTTACCTATAACCTATCCTAACCCTACATAAAAAAAGGGAAATATTGGCTCTCAACCTTAATCCTATTAAAAAGGATTACTTATTCGTAAAAGATAAATTTTATATGTTTTTGCTAACCATACATACCTTCGTAAATTTTGTTCATTCCATTTATACAAACAATTGTATATATCACTTACATACAGGATTATACAATACATATTTCTGCAATAACCTTCCTTAATGCATTGTTTTTTTTCACGTACGTACGTACGTAACGTAACGTAACTAAATGCATTTAGTTAAATTAGGGGTAAAATTTAAATTTGGGGTCCAGATACTTGGATTTGGTTGTAATACATAATTCTTTTTTTGTATACGCAACTAAATGCATTTAGTTACGATAATCTTCGGTTTCAATTATTATAATAAAATACTATCTTTTTGCAGCAAGTAACATTTAAAAACTTGAAGCCCGCCAGCCATTTAATCGTTTTTTTGTTTTTTTTTGTTTTTTTTAAAAAAAAAAAAAATTTTTATTTTATTTGCTTAATAATAAAATGTCTAATTCGAATGAAGAAAAGAAAAATTATATCAGAAGAAGCATTTTTGATCGATATAAAAATTATGATGAATTAGACATAAATGAAGTATCTTCGGTACTATTGGACCAGTATAAAATAATTGGCGGAAGGAAATACTTAAATACTCATGAAGCGAATTACATTATGCCATCAGATGAAATTGAATTTAAACGAATGGAAGTTGCTCATGTGTTAAACAGATATACATGGAAAGGTAATTTTAGTGCGCCAGTTGAGGAAACGCTAAGAAATAGTAAAGCTACCGTTCTCGATGCTGGGTGCGTAATGCTCGAAGTTATTATTATGAGTATCCTTAAATCGTAGATTAGTACGTAATATTTCATTTTACTTAATAGGTGCGGGGCAGGTTGTTGGATTCTTGATTTAGGAAACGATTTTCCAAATTCAACATTTGTCGGCATAGACATTCAATCAGGTGGATTTCCACCAATAAATGAACGCCCACCTAATACAGGATTTCTAGAACATAACTTAATAACCGGAGTTCCATTTCCTGATGAAACTTTTGACTATGTTCATATGCAATCGATGTTTTCAGCACTTACTAAGCAACAATATATAGATGTAATTCATGAATTAGTACGTGTAACGAAATGCAATGGATGGATAGAAATTTATGAACCTAATTTAGATGTAAAAAACTTAGGAAATTCTATGAAAGCTGTTCAAAATGCTTGTAAGTTATATGAATATTATGAAGCCATAATTTACTTATTTGTTAAAGAATTAATTATATTATAATTATAATATATTATAGTTCACGCAAAATTAAAGGAAAATGGATTTGATCCCACAATATGTTTAGAAGTCTCCAAATATTTTAAATCAATCAGTAATTTGACTAATATTGAACAAAAGCAAATTAATCTATCATTAGGTGGATGGGCAGGGAGATATAATGAATATGTAAGCTCTAACTTTTATATTACTTATTTTTTTAAAAATGATCTTGCGTTGTCTAATTAAATTATTCTTAGACATTAGATGCTCTTAAACAATCTTATAAATCTGCTACTTTTCTGCCAGAATATATGGGAATATCTCAAAACGATTATCAAGAGTTAATAGACGATTTTGATAGACAATGTAATCAAAACCATTCCTACATAGAATTATATAGATTTTGTGCTAAAAAAGTCTGAAAAATTAATATTAAGCAAGCAAACCTTTAGTAGCATGCCACTGACAGACATTAAATTACTATATGCAGATATGAGTAAGTTCAAGTAAACATGTTTAAAGTATATTATGTATAACTTATAATTTATTGCTCAAATTTTAAAATTAAAATTAAGATTAAAAATATAGTTAGAACTAAGATTAGAATTAAGGTTAGAATAGGTGTTTTTTTTATAGTGATAAACATTTTTATTTAGTACATCTAACATTATTATTTAAGCTGTTTCTAAGTTACAATAAAAGGCTGTTATGTTAACCATGTTCAAGTTAGAAATATTCTATAATATATGCCAGAAGCATTGTTTTTCGTGTACTCACCCATGTCAATTATCAAAATCTTGCTTGAACCAACAATCCTACTCAAAATCCTTTAATATAATAGTTTACAGTATTAAAGTAATGAAAAAAAAGGTTTAGAAAAATAAAATATTTTCTTTTCAAAATACAAGAAATGTCAATATGATTTGAGGAAACCTAATTTTTTGAAAATTGAAAACTTTATGAACGTTCTTTTATACTAATTTGGCCGATTCTATAAATTAAAAATTCTAAGCATTTGAACAATAAAATCAGATAGAGTTGGAACCAATAGGACGTGGGGCTGCTTCAAAAAATGGTTCAGGACCTGATCAAATTTCTCTATCGTGTAATATAAATTTGTTTACCACTAAACGGTTTTTTACTTAATCAAAGCAGATACGATATGCTTCTTAAAGGATTGGTTCGACTGAGACCAAAACTATAAATACTATTAATCAGTTCTCATAAAGAACAGAACAGACTGAACTGAGCTAATACATCCATAGTCCGACCAAATCAACATTTAATACGTAGAATCAATCATGCTATACAGAGATATCAATGTCAATGAACACGTTTGTTGGACATGTTACATAACAAATGCTTATAACTCAAGTTATAAATGTGTAAACATGCTTGGATATGAGATGTTTAAGATACCAAAAAAAAAGCTTTGGAGTAAAAATGTACAGTATAACCTTGATGTTATACATATAACAGGTCGTACTTTTTAATATTATAATAATAAGATCATACAACCAAGATATTGCGTCGAACTATATATTCCGCTTGGAAATACCTAGAGATGGGTTTCATGCGTGCGCATGATAAATAATCCCTTTAT